TAACGATCGAGATGGATTTCCTGACAAAGTTTAGAGTAATCTTTGACTTAGCCCAATGTAAGCTGACGATGTGTTTCCCGTACCAGGTTGCAGTAATAACCCCGTGCAAACCCGGCACCGATCCGTAAGGACGAATTAGCGTTGTCCGACCAAGAAGAAACTCAGCACGATTTTCTGGCCCCCGAACAACCGCCTGTGAGGATATTAAAGGCACCACACCTCTAGTGGAAGGCATAATTGAACCATCCCGGAGTCCACGGAGCTCCTCAGTAGTGGTTGTCAGGAGAAAGGATGGAAAACCCAGGTTTTGTATTGATTTTCATAAGGTCAATGCCGTTACACGAAAAGACGCATATTCAAGTTGCGAGCAGCCCCGTATATTTTATCGACCTTAAACAAGGTTATTGGCAAATTCCGCACACTACCAAGAGTAAGCCGATAACCGCCTTTACCATTCCGGGCCGAGGGCTGTTCCAATTTTGAGTAATGCCATTTTGCCTAATCTTGGCAAGATTCGCCGAACTTCGCGACTAAAATGTGGTGGTATCCCATCGTGCTAAAACCATTCATTTAATTCATATAGCAGTAGTAAATCGTCTAACAACTTCGTTAAATCGGTTTCCAAGAAGTATGTATAAATTTGCCATGTTAGAGAAAAATGGTCAAATAAGAATTTAAAAAATAATTTATTGTTGACGTACAATGCGATCTCCTATTATAGCACTCCAAAATAGAGCATACGGATTTTCATTTGCCCATACATGTAATTTATGGGCATTCAAGCACTCTTGTCTACCAAAAATTGACTTATCCGAGAATAAAATGTCAGAGACAAAATTTGGCTGGGGATCTTCTTGCTGTAGCAACCACCGGCAGAATTTACTCTAGCGGATAATCTTAAAAAGGGTGTTGCTAATCGTTCTTTATAACCCGCTAAACTGTAGAACAGGAAACATCCAGTTTGCGTGCAATCTCCCTTATGCTCTTTCAACTATTTGCAATAAAGGCCTTTAAAATAGCTTTTTAATTTTCCGCACTTGTAATACGTTTTGGAGCACCTCCAATTTCGTTATGACGCGGAACCTTAACCGGTCTCGGGTTCTCGCGATAGTCCTAAGGTAACTTTAAAGTCTAGTGGACGATCGGGAAAGCGCTGGAAAAAAACTCATTCTGCCTTCCTAGCATTGCGCCCAAATAAATAATGATGCCAGATTACTAAGTAACGACAAATTGTATTATTTATAGTATTACTTTTTTGACAGCATCTGGAAACGCTGACCCTTAGTATCCTAGAAATTTAAAAAATTCTCTATGGCCATACATTGGAATTGGCTATCGTTTTTTATTCTTATCTCGCTTATTACGTTAAACAATTTTAATTTTAAAATATGTGTTTTCCATTACTTTCGGCAGGTTTCCTTTTTCTCTATTGCGCGAGTTCTGGGACACCCTGTGAAATTGATTGGAATATTGTTCTATAGTGAAAAATCCATATTATACTAATTTTATTGATATGCTTGAAAATATACAACTCAAACTTTATATTTAACAGCAATGTTGTTTGGGATTGTCTTGTTTCCCGCGCTTTTCAGGCATCTGCTCAGTGTTAGCTTATTTTCTGTTTTATTGATTTAAGGATAATGGTATATTTTTTTATTTTGATATTTTATTTTATCTTCTAGCTGTCTACAAAGATGTATTTTTAAATTAAAAGTTTTTGTTAAGTATTTTACCTTTATTTCCGTAGCTATATTATTCCTGTTTCTAGACAACAAATAACTTTTTATCAATTTTAACACTTTAATAGTTTGACACATGGACTATAAAATATAATAGTATATTATGTATCAAGTTTGATAAACGCCATTTTATACACGAATTTAATTTAGGCACGAGCGAGCTTGCGAGGGAGTGCTTAAATTAATGCGTGCATAGAAAAGTTTATAAACGAGGTGCATACTATACTTTTTCTACGACAAAAACTTATTATTATCTTAATATGATTTAAATCAAAAATTTGTATAGAGCGCTATGAAACAATAGGGGAATCTGTGTATCACCGTCAACTGTCACATTTTTACATTTTATAAACACAGATTACAAAGGTCATAAATCGAAATGTATTTCTTGAAAATTGACAGTTTTATGAGGACTTTACAGTGGAGTCCGTGCCAGAATTTAAGTTATAGTTTACTGCCGGCGAAATTAAAAGGTCAGGACAATGTTCATATAAACTTTTCAAATATTGGCGTTGAAAAACTATTTAATACTTTTGTATTTTGGTATTTAGATAATAAAATAATTTTCACATTTAGTATTATTTTACTAGAAAGGCACTTTATAACGATTGTATGACATTTGACAACTGTCAACTAACTTAAAACTAACTTCAGCCCGTGACTAAAAACCTGTTGCTAACTTCAGCCCGTGACTAAAGCGCCATAAAGCCACAACTTGTCAATGTGTATTTAAAGGCCACATGTACGTTAAAGGGCGTTTTAAAGGTGGGAGTAGAAAAAATTCATTTTGGGCCGGTTAATGCAGTATTTTTTGCATCTTTTACATGCTTTCTGAAGAGCACTCAAACTCGCGGCCGGCTCTTGCTAACTTACTAATGTGCAATATTAATTACTTTTTGTAATACCTTTGTAAATAATTAAATTATACATTAAGGTAGTTGTCGTGCTGTAGGCATACCATCAGAAAATTTTAAATTTTTGTATACTTATTAAGGACAAGACATAACAATTATCCTTAAAATTTGAAGTCAATTGACCGTCTATAACCCGAGATAAATTCAATTAAAAATTGGATAATTAACATGGATTGTTTACGCTTTTTGTAACTAACAGTCTTTAAATGTATTTTTGCTAAGTTTAAAAAAAAATAAAATTTTTTTGACCGTCCAATTGTTTATAAATAACCGCTTAAAGTTCAACAATTTGTAAAAAAGTATACATACTATTCAGTCAGATAAAAACAACTTGGCAACGCTGTACGCGCAAATCAAAATGGTGTTAAATATGGTTCGTTGGCCGGTGTAAATTCAAATACTAAAATGGTTTTAATTTAACTTTCACACAGTATTAAAATAAATTTTACCTGGTGTAAATTGAACTCCTTTTCAGTGTTAAATATTATGTGTTTGTGGTCAAAATAAATCATTCTACACAGAAAAAAGGAAAAAAAAAGGAAACAGGAAGTTCCTTGACGCATTACTAGTATATTACCAGTGGTAGAGATAATGTTTTAGTGCGTTCCACTAACTTAAAAACTTCAAGTATTGACAGCTGTTTCCACCTATTTAAGGTCTCTTTTTATCGAACAACTTGTAGTGTCACACCAAAGCAAAGGACCACCTGAGTTTATATATTCTTCATGTAAGTCAACAGAGGCGAGATTTAAGAACATCACGTGATCCACACCGCCTTTGCCGCGATCGGTACACATTTTCAACCATAATTCATGGTGTTATATTAACACCAGTTGGTGTTGGATTTTGACACCATTTTAAAATTACTTTTTACACCACAGATATTTTAAACAGTGTAGATAACGTCTCCAAGGGTAGTCTTGCGAAAAAATTATGAATCACTTAGCTACAAGCTCGTATATTTTTACCACGACAACTACCTTAAATTAGATAAAATAAAAAATTAATGTCTAAGCAATTTGGGGGTTTTATCACGTTATTGGACATCTTGATATCGCCTGGAAAGCGGGAATTTATGATGCAATATTATTAATCGATTAGAGAATGGCTGGCATTCCCTATGCATTCCCCACGTTCATGGTTTATTGCATTTAACCAAACCATTTATGACCTAGAATAGGTAGAAATTAAATTTTCTAGTAAAAAAAGTGCCTATATATTTTAAAATTAAACCTAAAATATAACTATAGCAATTTATTTTAAGATACCTGTATTTGTATACTATTAAGTTGATCGCTATTATTGAATCTACAAAATTTTTAATAATAATAATACAGGGGGTTTTGGGGTTAACCTCTTCAAATTAAAAACAACAACCGATTAATAAGTGGAAATCCTCTATCCTGGTAATAGTAATGATACATTTTTATTTACATCCTAAGCAAAAATAACTTAAAATCATTAGAAAATGAGTCATGAAATAACACTTAAATTGTACTTGTATAATACTTTTGTAAATTATTAATAGGTACTTAAATACTTAAAAATATGTGTATCGCGTTTCTTTAACTGGCCCAAATTACATAAAATAGGATTATTGTGTAAATCTGAATTTAAAATCAATTTATTTTAAATTATTTACGACAGCACTAAATAATATAATGAATATTAATTCCCGCTACTAAGGGCCGGTATATCAATCTCTGGTTTAGTTCCAGTTAGTCTATCTGACAGTTAAATTCCATATCGATCGTTGTGAGAACAATGGAATCCGTGGTAGTACAGTCATCTTAGTCAAAAAAGGGGATCAACCTCGGAATCTAACGGAATAAGCTGAATTTTGGTATACACCTTTGTTTTAGCATTACAAATGTTGTCACAAAAGTCACATATGCCAACGTGTGAGCGACCTTAGATATTTAAGGTCAAAGGTCGCAAAAATCAGTTTTATGAGAATATGTCTTTTTCACTGCCTCCTATCGTATTTACATTTATTATAAAAGTTGTAGAAAATAAAATTCTCTACAAATTTTGTAAAAAACATTTTTTTATACGTCAAACCGTTTTTGAGATAGAGGGCGCAGAGTGTGGAGCGCTCAGCCATACGTACCTTTAGCGCAAGGTAAATCGTGAATCTCAATCTTATACCAATTTTTTAATTAATTATGTATTAAATTTTACTTAAATAACAATTTAATACCTTATACTTATATTTATATTTCTTTTAAATCAAATATATTTTATCTTAATATATATCTTATATTTTAATTTAATTTTAATGAAGGATAATTATAATTGGATTAGAGTAGGAAAAAATAAAATTTTGTTTTTATATATATCAATATTATTATTCTTCCTCATCACTCTCCTCGGTATCATTGACATTAATTGTCATATCTTCAAAAATTTCAGGGTCATATGCATTGTCTTCATTAACATCTGATGGGTATGATATTGCATTGAGGCATGCATTTCCATTGCATTGACCACAAGCTAAAGAACATTGCATCCCTGACTTACGGCATCCACAACGCGAACCACAACCATTCTTGCAGTTGCAGAATATTGAAGTGAGAAGTTCATCTGGTGCAGGTGGTAAAAGTGTTGTTACCGGTATTAGGGTTTCATTTTCCAGTACCCAACCCCATTCCTGGGGTTGTAAATCATTGCCTGACCAAGTTTGAATTTAGTAGTAGACACGATTAAGGTGTTGATAAACGGCTGCACTAGTTGGTGGTAGAAGTGATAACTGCACAGGTTTATTTAATTTGGTGGATTTAATAAACTGTGTGTATCGAAAGTAATCGATGTTGTCCTCAGATTTTGGAGCATTATACACAGCCAAGAAAAGTCTAGTTCCATTTTCATATATTGTTGACAGAGCACAGTTTTCCTCTTGAAATACTTGAGCCAGACGATCCAAATCAGGTAATTTCTCTAATGTTGTGATGACTCTTTTTTTTCCTTTCCTAAAAGACGTCGTGTCACAGCCACTGAATGCGTGTAAGAATAAAATATGTTCTTTACAACGGGGATATTTATCAAAACTTTTAGTGGAGTATAGTTGCGTTTGAACGTTGCCTTTACCAATTTTTTTTAAGTAAATTTCCAGTTCCTGTGATTTAGTACGTCCAATTAAAATTATTAATAAATCTATGTCTTCACCTATGATGACAGCAGTTCTTTGTTGTTCTGATTTTTCAATAGCTGTTTCGACGATAAGAACATCAGCATCGTCTCTGGCTACTTTCGTAGCAATATTAGCAATTTTTAATCTCTCAACGAGCATGTCGATTAAGTTTTTTTTATTAAGTCGATTTGATAAAAACTTTTCTTGGCTGATTGGAACTACCATTGTTTTATCAAAGCAAACTTCATAAGTCTTTGAAAAAGCAGCTGTTCTTCTTAGTTGCTCCATTGATTTAATATTTTTATCATTGTCTGAGTATCCATCAAATACGACAACAATATTAGAACCATAATGTGTTTGCAAATATTTAATATATTTTTCTAAAACCGCAGAGAAAGTGTCTTCTTTACTCCATACGACGCGGTGCAGAAGAAATCCACCATCAACAATGTATGAAACATTATTTTCATCTAGTTCTAAATTAATAGGTACCATACTCTGATATAAAGATGATTTCATGGTTTTTCTCATGCCATTGTTATCAAATAAAGATGTCGGGTACGGACTGAGTTCATATTGAAGATATTCTTGCAGGTTACTTTCAAATTTTTTACTTACAGTTATTCTTTGGAAGAGTAGCAAAGGATCTACCGAAACTTTGCAATCGTTAATCTTGACAGATTTGTTAACAACGGAGAGCGGTAAAACTTTATCGGCGCGTTTTAGCTTAATCTCATTAAAGTTTAAACCAGTTATCTTGCTCATTGAATCAAGTCCGACATCATAGGCTTTGTGACAATTAACTTGGTCATGCACGTGTTGTTCTGGCGAATCTAGAGAAATGTTACAAAAATATTCAATCTCTTCACAAATTATATTTGTAGCATACATGGCATACACCCATTTACATAAAACACTTTCTTGTGTACTTCGACCTCGAGATAAACCCCCTTCTGATTTCATAGATTTCATTAGACTTTGTTCTATCACCATGTCAGTCCATGTGCCAGAATTAAATTTTTCTGTCCGTTTTATAGTAAAGAACCCATTTTTAAAATTTTCAAAAGTGACTTCATCCATCGTATCTTCCAATTTCATATGGTCTTGAAGATAAACATGTGCTGATTTTGCATATAAGAAGTGACCACTGGCGTGAAAATACGGCAGCATCTTTCGCACTGCATCAAGATGTTCTTGAAAAAGTCCCAGTCTTTTGGCTCGAACAAAGTCTAGAGCTATTGATACCATTTTAAAGTATTGTACCCATAACTGCGCTGTAGGACCTCGAGTTTTAAATTCATTTAATTTATCTTGGAATTGATCAATTAATGTGGCCGAACTATTTACACACCCTTCAACATTTTCATAAGAAACATCGCGGCAAGTTATTTGTTCAATCAAATCATCTAACATACAGCTTTCAATTTTCATTTCTTCGAAAATCATTGTTGATAATGCAAGTCGTAATAGTGTATGACCTCGAATACTTCTCGCATAAGCATGACCATTTAGCATTTTATCGACTGAATTTGTAGCATATATTTTACCTAAAACTTCCTTAAGTCCACTTCCGTCCATTATATACCCTATGTATCCAAGAAAGGACATAAGCATATGAAATCCTCCTAGTCTAACAATTACTTTAGACAAGTCTGAGTTAGCAGCTGAGGCTGCAATCATTTCACGAGCTTTAGAGTAAAGGGGTTGATCAAACGTTACAACATACGTTTTTTGTCGATGTGACTTGGCAGTATTAATAGCACAATGTAATGTGGTGTAAATTGTGTCTAAATTACTGGCAGGATTATCAATAAAAGGCAGAAACATAACCTGAGAAGATGAAAAATCCTTATTATTACTAGTAATTTGTTGAAGATATCCATTCCACCCAGGCAACGATGAGTTATTTTTCCATTTCCCGTATAACCACAAAAAATCAACTTCATTTAATCGTTTTTGAGTGAGTACTTCTAGATCGCCATGAAGATTTTCTACTTGAATCTTACTATACCCCGGTATAACCGGCGTTTCATATGCTTGTAGAGATACATGTGATATTGCTGCTAGTTCTTTTGCACTTGGCTTCGTTGTACATTTTTGTATGCGCTCACTGTAAAGAACAGCCTCTTTTGGAGTGATAATTTTAATCATTCCCATTACATGAAGTGTATTATTACCGTCTAAAGTGTTAATATTTATATCCGCATTGTCTCCAACAAATTGTACTAGCGCACCTGATTCTGATGATAAAATATGAGGCTGCGGGTGGTAAATCGTAGAAATTTCATACTGTACAGTATTACAATACGTAGCTGCAAATCCTAAACTTGATAAAACATCTAACAATCTTTTAGATCCATATCTTCTATGAAGAAATACAGACAGGCCCAACAGTAATTGTGATGAAAATGACCGTTCTCGTAAAGAAGCCATTATAGCATGACTTATAGATGTGCATTTCGTTTTCAAATGATCAGTGTTTCCTTTTCTTTTTTTCATTATAACTTCTTGTAAAAAATGTAGTAAAGATTTTGGTATTACAGCGTTTACATCATCTAGCATTCTACTCGGAGGTGGATAAGATTTTGTTTCGACTACAGATGAACGAATATCTTCCCTAATAATTGCCGCAGCGGCTTCGACTACTCGTAACCGTTCTTCTTGAGGAGTGCTTTTTGTATTCTCGTACCAAGGCTTAGATAATAAGTTGAATTGTGCGTCGCGAAAAGATATTATAGTAAATGATCCTACTTTTTTTGTAATTATTACATCAGTTAAATACTTCTGTTGTAGTTTAGTAATGATTGTCTTATCATCGGGTACATACTCCGTAGGGACATTTTTAAGCTCTGCCAATGTAAATTGCGAATCTTCATGATCATCTATATATTCATAAATTTCTTTCATTGCTTGTGTAACTTCGTCGACTTGGAGAATATTTCTTATTGGAGATGGTACTGGCTTTAAAAAATTGCTGTAGCAAACGGTGTGATACTTTGCTTCAACAGCAATCAAATCATGCAGATAAGATACACGGTCTATCACTAATCCTCCCAAAGTATCGCTTCGTTCTTCTGCTCTTTTTACGACCTTGTCTTTAAATTCAAGAGTACTTACTTTACTGATAACGCGTTTGTACTTCGCAGATTTTTTTACCTCTGTTGCTTCATCTGCGACTTCACCACAAAATAAGCACAATCTTTTAAAATCAAATACATCATTTCTTTTTTTACGTGGTACAGTTAATGACGTTGAAGGTCCAGTCTCTTCAAAGCGACGGTTAGCTGCTGCAATTGAATTTTTACTAGCGTACAATTTTCGACACTCAATATGAACGTTCACGGAAGTCAAAGTATTTAGGTAGTTTATGTGCCCATCATTTCTATCAATACTTGCTTCTTTTAAAGTGTTTGTACCGCGCACAACAGTCACATAATCACCTTCAGAAAGTAACTTATCACAAATAAAACATAAATCAGCCATTTTAAGCTTTAAAATATTACGAATAATATCTGTCAAAACTTGCTTTAAATAAAAAGGTTAGGTATACCTAACCTTTTTATTTGTAGCAAGCCCACTATAGTACTTCCAGGTCTGTTATTTTAAAAGCAATATCTGGATCCAAGAGATGACCAGAGATAACATATTCAAGGGAAATTCATGTAATGTCATTTATCATTAATTTGAAAAACATTAGAATATATTTAAAATGATTCACTTCATTATTTAATTATTTTTAAGTTAAAGGTAAGTAATATTTAATGACTATTTGATTTAAAAGAAATATAAAAATTAATTTAAGGTATTAAATTGTTATTTAAGTAATATTTAATAAATAATTAATTTAAAAAAGGGTATAATAGATTGGGATTCACGATTTACCTTGCGCTAAAGGTACGTATGGCTGAGCGCTCCACACTCTGCGCCCTCTATCTCAAAAACGATTAGACGTATAAAAAAAAGTTTTAAACAAAATTTGTAGAAAATTTTATTCTCTACAACTTTCATAATACATGCAAATACGATAGGAGGCAGAGAAAATGAGATATTCTCAAAAAATTGATTTTTGCGACCTTTGACCTTGAATATCTAAGGTCGCTCACACGTTGGCATATGTGACTTTTGTGACAACATTTGTAATGCTAAAACAAAGGTGTATACCAAAATTCAGCTTATTCCGTTAGATTCCGAGGTGAAATGCCTAGATGACTGGACTAATGGAGATTATCTGCCAGATAACTAACTGCAACTTTAACCGGACATTGATAAACCGGCCCTAGGTCTAATACCTACTTAATAGGTACTTAACTCATATATGATCACCCATAATATAACAAGTACTTGTACTTGTACTTAAGTGGTATGATTATTATCGGTAATATTTTCGAATTGAAACGAAACTGCTGCTTCGGTTTTAATGAATATCATAGAATATTATTAATTATTAATTACACCATGGTATGATTTTAATCGATGATATACTTGTGCACGACTTATATTTAGCAAGAAAATATAATTAATGCTGGTATATTATGAAGTTTCACATTAAATAAACATGTTTATTTAAATTCTTAAAATAACTCTGAAATAACTTGTATTCGCAGCAATCGCATTTAACACGGCTAGCCACGGCTGCCTCAATTTCTTTATCGTTTACACCACCCGGGTGCACCCCAACCAATATTTTAGAGTTTTAGAATTCATTATTTTGATCAAATAACAAACCCAGAAACCAAGAAACTTAGTAACGTATGGCAAGCCGTTTTACCATTTAACAACACAATTTTTATGGAACATCATGGAGAATAATATAATAAAAATTGTTAAAAAAAATAACTACATATTGGAAAGGTGTTGATGTTGAATTTTAATTCAATAAATTATTTTTAATACGTCTATAAATATTATAATTTTTATTTGAATCTTATGTTAACTTGCAATGTTTTTCCTATGGTAATATTAATTCAAGTATTTAAAACGATGTATACATTAAAAATTAAAAGTGTCTATAGAATATAACTTTACTGCTGGAATTAAAATTATGTTTAATATAATTTTAATTTCTAGAATTAAAATTATATTGTAGTATAATTTTAATTCGTGATTTAAAATTATGTAGAGTATAATTTTATATGGGCGTAATAAAAATGTGTACATAATTTTAATTCAATTAAAAGTATGCACACATAATTTTAATTTCAAAATTAAAATTAAACACACATCATTTTAATTCCTGAATTAAAATTATACACACATCATTTTAATTCACATAATTAAAATTATACTATACCTACATCATTTTAATTGAATTAAAATTATACTATTCATCATTTTTAATTGAATTTAAATTATACTGTACATAATTTTAATTGAATTAAAATTATGTACATAATGTTAATTTGGCAACGCCGCAATCGCGAAACGCATGCTAACGCGAACTAAGAATGTTCCTTTTTTTGGTAACTTTTCGTTTGGCTAGTTGGTAATGTGGGACTATCACTATCACAGAATAGTTCTGTGCTTAAATTACTTTTTCAACGGAAAAAAGATTTAAAGAGGTAGGTTGTTTAATTGTAATGATGTATAGTATAATTTTAATTCAATTAAAACTATCTGTAGCATAATTTTAATTTATTTAAAATGATGGATAGTATAATTTTAATTTTGTGAATTAAAATTATGTGTGTATAATTTGAATTCTGGAATTAAAATTATATGTGCATGGTTTTAATTCACATAATAAAAATTATACTATCATCTTAATTGAATTAAAATTATGTGCACATCATTTTAGTACGCCCATTTAAAGTTATTTAATATTTAAAGTTATACCAAAGATTAAATATACTCTATATATATATATAGAAAGAGTATATTTAATCTTTGGTTATACTCTACATAATTTTAAATCACGAATTAAAATTATACTCGACATCATTTTAATTCCAGAAATGTTATACACCATTTTAATTCAAGCAATAAAAATTATATTCTACATCGTTTTAAATAGTTGAATTAACATTATTATATGAAAAACATTGTAACTTAAAATAAATTTCAAATAAAAATTAAAATATTTGTGCACTTATTAAAAAATAATTCATTGAATTGTAATTCAATATCAACCTTTGCAATATGGAGTTATTTCTTGTAACATTTCGTTTTCATACATTTACAATAATTTTTGACGATGAATTCAACATGTACAAGGCAGGTATTGTTTCAGAAAAATTGATCTAATTGTAATAAAAATTGAACCGAATTAAACCAAAGATTTGGACAAATTAAAAATAAATTAAAATTAATTTCACAAAGTGGGCAAGCCCTTTTACTATTTAATGTATTTTAAATTAAATTTATGTACAACTAAATTTTAAATAATTCATTATTTATTAAACATAATGGAAATTTTAACCATTTTAAATACGGTAAATTTTATATCCCTATAGCTATAGCCATAGTAACGTGTAAAGAAGGTAAATAAATGCGTTTACATATCGACCCATGCAACGAAGACTATTGTAACTCAGTTTTGATTGAAGACTGGAGTAACTCAACTTAATATAGTTTTCGCCTGTAGGAATGTGGATTATTACACTTACTATACAGGGAAGTTGTTCACTGGTTGCCTATCGTTTCATGTCTGAGTCACTGTAATCTTCCACCAAATAGAGCTTGAAAAAATCTGTTGATGCCATATAGTATGTCAAAACCCACGTTTTTTGAGTTACTATAGTCTTCGTTGCATGGGTCGATATATTATAACGATTTTTGTTTTTGACAGGTTTTTAGGTTTTTTCAAATTTTAGAATCACTGTTTTTTGTTCCAATTTTTAAATGGCATTTTAATAGACTTGTAATTACGCAACTTTTCTCCAGTGTAACCGATCTTGTAGTTCTTTAAATAAAAATATATATTCATACATAGAAGGTGTAAAGTACCTATACGTTTATTTTTATGTGCTAAAACAGTGTGCAATTATTCCATTTGTTAATTAAATAACAATACGTTGACAGGGCCATATTACCCATTAGGCAGGCAAGGCAATTGCCTTAGGCGCCACGAAGAAATAGGCGCCTTGTCTCCAAGCAACTTAAAAAAATAAAAATTGTTACCAAAATGTTTATTTTTTCCAAAAATAAAACAAATAAACAATATACAATTGTAATAACAGAATATAATTTACTGTTTTTATTATTTTATAAAAATTTAGCTTCCTCTTTAATAACGAGGTGTAAAGCCGACAAAAAAGCGTGCCGCAAATTCACTTCTGTTTTTATGCCAAATACATAAATGTATTTCAGATAAAACTAATCAGGTGTTATATCACCATGCTTGATTACGAGGGCACTGCGTTTTGAAGTAGAATAAGATATTTTATTATTAACTGTATAATTAACAAATAATAAAAAATCTTAACGTTAAACTGCAAACAAAAACTTAAAAGATCATTTAATTTGTAAACTTTACCCTGTATAAACATATCTTTAGCACTCTTTAAACTATTTCAAAACCCCCGTATGCTCCAAGCACACGGATTCCTCTTCTATCGGGTACCCGCTGTGATGTGCGGCTCACCCCAGCGGGTACGCGATACTAGAGGAAACTGCTGCCGGAAGTACTTGGGTGTTTTCGCGTTTATTCAAGAGTGGCACTTCTATGTGTTGTGTGTTTGGTGATAGCAGTCTGTGTTCGATAGTTAAGGTTGATTTAGCCTGGCTTTTAAATTAAATTACGTTACGTTAGATTACGTTACACAAAATGCAGGCTAAATCCACATATAGATAGTGTTAATTTTTCTGTTTGTTAAAAGGTATTTCTGAAATTTTAATATTAATCTTGCAGAAAAACGCACTTGTAAGTCCTAACACTTTTTATTTACATTATATTTGTTATGTTTGTATGATATTTATGATTTTTATGTACTTTTTATCATTAAAAAAGTACATAAAAATCATAAATATCATACAAACATAACAAATATAATGTAAATAAAAAGTGTTAGGACTTATAAGTGCGTTTTTCTGCAAGATTAATAATAAAATTTCAGAAATACCTTTTAACAAACAGAAAAATTAACACTATCTAAATGTGGATTTAGCCTGCATTTTGTGTAACGTAATCTAACGTAACGTAATTTAATTTAAAAGCCAGGCTAAATCAACCTTAACTATCGAACACAGACTGCTATCACCTAGGTTATAATGCTCGGGCGCCCTTAAGCTAACAGTTTGGGGTGGCTCTAATAACCTTTTTTAAAATTTGCCCCGGGCCCCGTAAGTATAGTATCTAGTTAGAGGTGCCAAATTTTTAAGTGCCTAAGGCGCTCAATTGCCTTAAGCCGGCTCTGTACGTTGAAATCAAATGAGTTTAAGTACATTACAAGGTACACAGTCGTGAAAAAACTAGATTTGTCAATTTGTAGAATTGAATTTAGGATCCCCTTTCTAATAGAAAAGTTAAACAACGCGCGGCGAAAATT